AAAAAGAGGCTTTTTGGTATGGCCTGCTATCTGCCTCATAGCCTAACTATTCTGTAGCCTTTGCTTCGTGTATTCAGTATAATGTCTCTGGACATTTGTAGCTGAAAATGTTGGCATTGATCTTACCATGTAAGACTGAATAATCTCTTCTCTTTTTTCTTTTTTTTTTTTTTTGTGGAAAATTGCCAACAATATATATGACACTGTTCTTAAAAATCAGGACATCTGTTAGCATTAGGAGATACAGTGTAAATACAAGCTGAGCACAGCTTGAGCTTCGAAAAAAAATCTCTGTAAGAAACTTTTGAGGATGTTATGATAAAAGTGATTTAAGTTCCCGTGCACCAACAAGTAAATGATTTGGTTTCCTCTACAATACGATTCCCATGTGATGCCATGCTCTGCATATAAAGCTGAGGGGAGCAGAAGGAAGGGGGGACATTGTGAGTGATGGCGTTTGTCTTCCCAAGTAACCATTGCATGTGATGGAGCCCTGCTTTCCTGGAGATGGCTGAACACCCGCCTGCTGATGGGAACTGGTGAATGAATTCCTTCTTTTGCTTTGCTCGCATGCATGGCTTTTGCTTTCTCTATTAAACTGTCTTTATCTCAAATCATGACTTTTTTCACTTCTACTCTTCGCTTCTCTCCCCCATCCCACCAGGAGTGAGTAAACTAGTGGCTCTTTGGTGCTTAGCTGCTGGCTCAGGTTAAACCGCAACATTATGGTAATTTCATGTAGTGAAATAGTAATTTTATTCTGGGCTTCCACATTGTTTTATCTCCTATTCTTTAAGATTGCTAAATCCTTATGTGAAAAAAGGAATTATAGCAACATGTAAAAAATGAAAGCACCTAGGTTTTCCTTTATATATGTGAAGCAATATGAGATTTACTTGGCTAGAGGATGAGTGTGAAATCCTCACTTTGTGAATATCATCGAGACATATACAGATCTGATATTATTCAGCTCAATAGCATAGAAAGATTAGCAAGGTACGATCGTAAGTGGTGCTAATGAAAGTTTATTTAAGGGAATTTTAAATTGTGATTAAAATTTAAATTTTAAATTTTTAAATTTTAAATTTTAACTACTTTTTTTCTGCCTCCTCAGAGCATGCAAGACAAATTAAGTTCCTCATATGATCAATTGAAATGACCTAGGTTCAATTAGAATCACAGCTTCCTAGCAAGAGGTGGAATACCGTTTCCCCACTGGGAACCATCTGATTTCTTTTGAGAAAAAGGAAGGAGATATGAAGTAACTGTAACCCATACTCTAAAGAAGTTGAAAGAAGTGTGAAAAAGAAGAAAAAAGAAATAAAGAACCAGTTCACAGAGTTAACAAGCTGTAAGCCGAATTAAGCTACCCTTTTTTTTGGTTTGATTGTCTCTCCTGACCTGTTAGACCAGGTGTGGATGAGTTTAAGAGAACCTACTTGCCTGAAAGCTTATTCCT